TACTAACAGGCTCAATTTCAAGTCCGATTCTTCTTGGCGAAGTTAGCCTCAATGTTCCCTACCGGGTATCAAGACACTTTTGCCCCCTATTTCCGAAAGCTTGTAAAACTAACTTTGAATTGCACGACGCACTCCGTTGATTATGCCAGGATTTTAACTCTCATTCCAGCACGTTTGATATATCAGATCCGCTTTTCAGCATTANGATCCGCTTTTCAGCATTAAGAAATCGATACTGTCCTCTCTCAATAAATGAATCATTAAAATAAAGACATAAAATCGGCTGATGAATTTAGTTCTGTAGCTGAACAGTTTTAGATCTCGACACTTAACAAACTCCTGCCTATCGTGACTCGGCGCAAAAAATGCTAATACTGGTTCCGTACGTCATGCGGACTGCGCCCCTCGTGCGGATGGGCGGGAATGGAGGGTAAAAACCGATGGGATATTCAAGGTATGCAGATCAACATGAAGAACAGGATTATGATGCATAAAAACATGGAAGGTCCCCTTAGGTTTGGGTATGATGGTCCGCACAGCAGCAAGCGAGTGATCCTAGAGGAAAGCGAGCAGATTCCACCGAAGTCAGAAGCAGTTGTGTGGGCAAAGATTGATGGAGATTGTGGGACAAACAAATTGTGGGTTGTTGAAGCAACACAAAATTCTACACCGGACGTACTTATTGGTAAAACCCTGGCTAAGACACAAAAGGATGGACGCATCCCAGTTCGAGTGCTCAATGAGTTCAAATCACCAGTCAAACTCCGAAGAGGAACTGTACTGGGGCACTGTCGAGAGGTACAGGCAATCTTCAACTGCGAAAAATTACCTGAAAGCGATTTCATTGGCGAGAATGACATTGCGGAAGACATTAGTGCATTGACGGAAGGGTTGGAAGAAAAATACCAGCACAAGGCTAAGGAACTTCTCCGCAGATACTCCAACATATTCGACAAGGATGGCGACAAACCAGGCAGGACTAACGTTGTGAAACATCGCATTGATACTGGCGATGCAAGGCCAATCCGTCAAGCTCCTCGGAGTGTTCCACTTGCCAAACTTGAAACTGTTAGCCAAATAATAAAAGAAAAGTGGTTCTCAACACTCGACCTTAAGAGCGGTTATAGGCAAGTGGAGGTAAGTGACGAGGATAAGGAGAAGACAGCTTTCAGAGTTGGAGACGGTCTGTGGCAATTCACGGTAATGCCCTTTGGGTTATGCAACGCTCCTGCCACTTTTGAACGACTTATGGACCATGTGCTCAAAGGACTGCATTGGAAAACATGTTTGGTGTATCTAGACGACATTATCGTATTGGGTAAAAGCTTTAAGGAACACGTGAACAATTTAGAAGAAGTCGTAAAAAGTGCTCACTGTTCAGGAAGGAGGTGAACTACTTAGGGCACAAGGTGACAACGGAGGGCNAAGCTAAGTCCTAAAAAGTGCTCTCTGTTCAGGAAGGAGGTGAACTACTTAGGGCACAAGGTGACAACAGAGGGCGTCTGTACTGCGAAGGAAAAGATAGAAGCAGTAAAGGATTGGCTAAGACCTAGGAACCTGCACGAACTACGAAGTTTTCTTGGGCTATGCATCTACTACCGCCGATTTGTTCCGAATTTCGCCAGCGTTGCTAATAGCCTCCACGAGTTCACTAGGAAAACTAGAGCCTTCGAGTGGAACAAGGAGCAGGAGGAGGCTTTCCAGACTATGAAGGAACGACTATGTATTGCACCTATGCTAGCGTATCCCGTTCCAGGTGCAACGTTAATTTTGGATACGGATGCTAGTGGTTATGCCATAGGAGGCGTACTGTCGCAGGTAATTGATGGGCAGGAGAAGGTGGTTGCCTACTATAGCCGGTCGATTGGAAAACCAGAAAGGAACTACTGCGTAACTCGGAGAGAACTACTAGCGTTGGTGGAGTGCGTCAAACATTTCCACAAGTACCTCTATGGGCAACGTTTCCGGGTTCGAACGGACCATGCAGCGCTGAAG